AATCACTGCACAGCACCATCCACAGAGGTCAGTGTTCCTCAGACCCAGGAGGTGCTCACAGCTGAGACGAACCACCAAGAGGAGGAATGACCAGAAGGAGTCCGTGTCCCTTCGGATTAAACCTTCTGCTCTCAGAGAATCATGTCAGTGAAGATAAGAACCCTGACTCTGGAAGCGACAATGACCCTCTGAACATTCATCACTCAGGCTCCTTGAGATGGTTTTCTCCCCGAGGTCTGGGCCTGCAGGATTCTGTGTCCATCTCTGCATGTCCCAGTTTTATCAGGAAACCTGCTGAGTCAGGTTAGTGAGATTCCTTACCTTGGAAATCTGATCACCCTCAATATTTGATCCAATTCCCCTAACCTATGATCTTCAGGGAACATCTGACCACCCTGACCTCCTGTATCAAGAGTCCCCTGGAGACAGCCTGCTCAGAATCCCCCTGACCTTGTAGTCTCCTCACAGTCATTTTCCACCCAGTCAACGTCATCACTCTTGGGGCATAAATCCCCATGTTGCCATCTGCACTTAGAATTGAACCAGGTATCCAAGGCTGCTGCAAAGACCAAAATGAGACTCGTACTCCTTTATTTAAATAAAATTTATATTGAAGCTTTATTATCAAGCTCACCGCCCCCATCAGTATAACTCATGCCTGGATGGAGCTTGTCTTTCATAGATAATTTCTGCTAAGTCACTCACAGCACTGTGTGCTCAGGGACGCTGGACTGTGCTTCAGGACTACAGATGGACCAGCTCAAACAGGCAAACTGTCTCCTTCTATCACAAAGAGGGAAAAACATGGCACTAACTGGACATGAAAGGGGACTCACTTACGTGATGGAAGTTGAAACAAGAAGGCAGAGCATCACCCTGACCGACCTCAGGGGGAAATGTTAGAGTGTTGGGTGATTCAAAGTGCTGCCCACATTGCAAATGTCCGACAGTTTTGCAAATACAACAGCCGTTTTCGTTTAGGGCTGAAAATAAATTTTACCCATAAGTGATCCTTAGACCCTGAACCCCGTGAGTAATGAGGATCCCTGCACACGCAGTCCTGGGCACCCTGGCATTAGCGTCTGTAACATGCATCCTGCACAATGCAAACCCTTGTGCCCTTTGGCGGGAAGATGGAGGGTAAGCAGCCTCCTGCCCTGGGAGCAAAGACAAAGATGTGTAACAGTTTACACATGTAGTTCAACTGCCTGGGCCTTCTCAGAACATTCAAAAGTGTTGAAACATCCAGACTCACCTGGAAAATTATGTTAAAACCTAGCATGCTATGGACCTTTTTGAGAAGGAAATAAAATATATCCTGAGTACAAATATTATTGTTGGAAACAAATGAGTCAAGACAATGAAAAATTAGTGTCCAGCAGGGGGTCTCTGGTAGAGCTGAAGAGCAGGAAAAGGAAACCAGGGATTCTAACCGCTAACCCCTCCCGGCCCCTCTGCACGTGCTCTGGGACTCAGCCCTGCCCTTGGTGGCTCCTGAGCACCCCCTGGGGGTCCCGGGCTCCCCAGGCAGGGAGGTTTGTGTCTGGGCGCACCCTGACTTCCTCTCACTGTGTCTCTGGCACAGTAATACACGGCTGTGTCTTCAGGGGTCACAGAGCTCAGCTGCAGGGT